TTCCATTTTAGCATATTTTTCTTATTTTTATATTTTTTTGGATTTTTTATTTTTTTTATTTTTTGGGTTTGATTTTTTGGGTTAGCCCTTTATAACCTTTTTTCAATTATAGCTCCTACTATTTTTTTAATCTATAAATATTCTATCAAATTACAATTTTTTTTTTTTAATTTCATACCTTATGATTTTTTAATCTTTTAAATTTAGTACTCATTCATTTACTTGCTATTTATTTTGTTTGGGATGATTGATTTTTTTTTCAAATTTCATCATCCTTAGCTATTTTTCTCTCAAATTTTATCCTTGTTCTTTTTGTTGCTTTTGCAAGTTTTCTGATTAATATTTTTTTAATGATTTTATTTTTCAAAATTAAATTGATTGGTAGTTAAGTTTTTTTATTAAACTTGAGTTCATGATTCAACGAATTGCAAGTTTTTAAGATTAAACTTCATTTAGGAGATTCGCCTAATTTTCTTAATTTTTTTCTTTTGTTTTAAGCTGACATCTTTTTTTTTTTTTAAGTTTGCTTTTTTGCGGTTTTTCTTTTATTATGTTAGCATTAAGTTGTTTGATAATCCAAATAGGCTCATGTATTGTTCTTTTTATCCTTTTTTGTTGTTTTTTAATCAATTTTTTTAAATTTTTTCATATTGTTTAAATTTTCACGTGAACCAATGACTCAAGACTCTTTTTTTTAGCTTAACGCTTTTTTTATATAAAAAACATTTCTTAGCTTGTGTTGAAGCGTAGGCAACACACACATATAATTTAATCAATTCATCAAAATTAAGTAGCAAAACCAACAAAAGAGTCCAATTTTCATGTCAACCTTTTGAAAGTAAATCTTTTTTGATAAAAATGGTAGTGAGTGAAATGTGATATTGCTAGTTTGGTTAATGTAAATCAAAGTTTATATATTATATATATATATATATATATATATATTAGACTAGTAAATAAATATATTTATTTTATTATCATAAAAGCATGCTAAATAAAAAATATCCAATAAGCCTAGAGTTTATACATATTTAAAACTATAGGCAAGTACAAATATAACTAGTGACAAACATGTTTTCAACATAAAAAATAATAATAAAATACTAACATGCATAATAAACATATATTTAAACTTGTAATTGATATAAAATTAAAAAAAAATCATAACTTACATATTAATAAGAAAATTAACTATGCTTAAATTAAAATAAAAGGAATATTTACTTGTTGAAGCACTTTAAAGTAATGAATTTTTTATTGTTGTTGATGATGGATTCTTTGTATTAAAGACTTCATTGTTCCACATTTGTATAACTATGATATTTGTAATATATCTTTTAAAATTTCAACAATATCATTTTACTTTAAATGTATTTTTAAATAAAATTTTTGAATGAAAGAATATGTAATTCAAACATATCTCAAGACAATGAACTTAAGCTCTGGATGGATGTAGAAGAAAAACCAAAGCATAAAAAAAAAAAAACTAAAAATTGATGGCAAAAAAATATATATAAAAAAATAAAAAAAAATCAAATTGAAAACTCTTTCTTCACTCTCTTTTTACAATGAAATAAGCTAAAATATTGAAAAATTAATAAGAATTAATTATAGAAAAATCAAGTGTTTATTAAAATTAATTTTTTATTCACTCCTATTTTATTTAAATCATGTAACTAGAAAAAATCTCCAACAACTAAAATCTCTTAAAAATTTAATTCTTCTTGAATGTCTAGTTGTCATTGTTTAACAAAATCTAATAATTAAAAAAAAAAATCGGTGAAGTTAATGTGATCCAGTTTAGTGATACCCAATAAGATGTTCCGGAAGTGCCACGAGAACTATGCTCAGAACAACTGAATAATATACTATATTATAATGTCTCCAATTAATCAAATTATGTTTATTTTCCCTTTTGAAAAAAGGAAAGGAAGAAATCATTCATGCACATATAAGCAGATTAGATTTCGCAAGAATTAATTAAATTTTAACAAAGAGGAACACACCACGTGGCTTGATTCCTCACAGCCTGTGTTAAGCTTGAAATGGATTCCTTGTTCAAAAATAATAATAATTATTATTATTATAAAAAAAAAAAAACAGACAGAAGAAAGAAGGAAATGTGGAGGTGTTACGGTGATACAACATGCTTTCCACTTAAGAATTCAATTAAATATCCCATAATTTATTAATCGTCATCTTGAGCACGGCTCAATAATGGGCAGAATAATAGGCAGAAGATTAGAGTTTTTCTGTGTTGTTTTTGTAGTTTTATTTAAAAATATTTTTTAATTTAATTTTTAATATTAATACACAAAAAATATAAAAAATTAATTTAAAATTAAAAAAATATCTTAAATTTTTTCAAAAAACTGCATTTCCAAATACATCCTAATTTCTTTAAATTTCGCAAGTGGATCTTACTTTAATTAGTAATGCATGCTAATGTCTTAGATAATCCAGTGGCTGTCGCTGGCAATTGGCTACAATCAACTTGTTTTGATATTTCAACTCCAAACTAATCATGCATGTACGGTCTTTTCTTTTATAATTGAGTTTAAACAAGTCATTAATAATCTAATTAATACATTCACAATAAAATTGATGGTACTATTGTATCCGTACATTTTAAATTAAGTTTTCAATTTGTTTCTGTAAATTTAATTGCTTTCTATTTGATCCTTCATATGATCCTTCTCCATTTAGGTTTTTTTTTTTTTCAAGTTCTTTCTTCCAATGTGAAAAACTCAAATCATAATTGATTTATTAATAATTAAATATGAACAAAAATAAATTTCACTACCAAATAACTATTTTTTAAAATAATAAATTAGATATAGGATTATCAAACTTGGCACTAATAACAAATTTGGATTTAATATTTTATTTTTAGTTTTTATAGAGTTATTAATATTTCATTATATAGATAACAAATTTAGCACATTAACTTAAATTGATTTAAATTAATCTAATATGTTGTTATTTTAATATTTTTTTAAAATATTATCTTTATGTTTTTAGTCAAATTATATTTTCACTGGTTATTCAAATTATTTTTAGACCTGTCAAAATGATCAGGTCAAATAAAATTAATCCCATATAGTTAAAAAAATAAAATTTCTATAAAAAAACACATTATAAACATTGTTTTTATGTCAAAAAAAAAAATTGATCCACCCGGAACATAGAATGAGAAATGATCTAGTATTTACTATACATAAAACAAGTTATCCTAAAATTAAAAAAACAATTGACAGAAAACTTGATCACCTTTTGATAGTCAGATGATAATCCTGCGGTAGTGCATTGGGTGGATTTGAAAGGTCCAAGATTCAGGTGGCTGTTCGAACCAGAAAATGAAGGCACATTCAAGCTGTTCATTGAGCATTGGTCCAATAACTATAAGCCCATGACTAGGGTTCTAGTGATTGCACCATTGACCATCCTAATGGGCCACCCTTAATGGAAAACCCAAGTAGTCAAGTGCAGATATCCCTTTGATAAACAAGCCATTTATTGAGATTTAATTCACAATTTTCCCCTTAGAAAATAAATATTCAGTTTTTTTTTCTAAGGAAATGAAAAAGGAGAAACAAGTCTTAGAAATGAATTGCTGTTCTTGTTAGAGCACATGTCCTCTGTCCTTTGTTAGAGAGCACAGAGTAAAAGACAATTATTCATACAAAAAGCACAAAAAAATAAAGATTAAAGAAAACGGGCTTTCAATTATGTTGATCACCTTGGTTGAGTGAAGTGGAGGTTCCCATCTCACTGCTGCCGCCATTGTCTGTCTCGTATCCCCCCTCTGGCTTGGAACAGCAGGCAAAGTTCATCTTGGAAACTATGCTGGTGATCATCAATATGGAAGCTGCTCCTGCCTCAAAAACTCCGTGTCTCAGGGCATGGCAATAAAAATCACCATTGCTAAATATGGCCCTGTATTTGGCGTTCTGGGCATTGTTGATGGAACCCCACATATACATGCCTCAGCACTGAAGAATGTAATCCTGATTTATATCATGCTGCATACAATATTTTTAGTACCGATAGAGGCATGACAGCTTAATTAAGGATGTTAGGTTTCACAGGTAATGAAATTTATATTTATTTGAACTCAACGCATAATTAAATTTAAAAATATTAGATCTAGAAGTAAGTTAGATTCATTTTATTTGTATTTGAGAATCTATCGAGTCCAAAAAATTAAATATGAATATAAACCTCACTCTTTTATTATTGTGCTATTATTCTAGTTTTATCTTTTTTAAATAGGAATTTAGACCAAAAAATAAATTTTAAAAATATATTCATCCATTAAAATAAGAGGTGAGAAGCAATACTTTCAGTACTTCTCATCTGTTCAGCTGCAAGGGCTGGAGCAAATGCAATGAAGTCAGTGGCAAAGACCACCATGAATAGCAGTTTTGATGCCGAAGCAACCTCTCTCTCTCTCTCCCTGTTATCAAGGATGCGACGAGGAAAAAGTCTACGGTAGTACTTTAAATAGTTTAGTCAGTAAAACAAAATTGATTGACAAGTTTTGTAATAAAATAAGCGAGTAGTTCCAACTAATTCGAAACTTCTTATGAACTAGGAGACGATAGAGTTGAGTTTGTCAACACAAGCTAGCAAAGAAGTGCCCACTGGCCAGTAGAATAATTTATAAATACCAGCCAGTTTGCACATCTTTCTTTAGCATTTCAAGAAACCCTTGCTTTTGAGGCTAACAATAAGTTTAGTTGTCTTTTAATTATATGCTGATCAAACTTTTCAGTTACAATTACAAGGAAGAATGAGGGATTCATTCTATTTTGCTTGGATCTCTAACTTCTTTTTTAATCTTTTTTTCCTCCTATATTATCAAAACAGTTAGTTTTCCTGCTTGGGGTATCCTCAGTTTTAATGCCATGCAGAGATTAAAAAATAAAAAAAATGATAGAGAAGGATAACATTCCGGTGGGTGCTTAGTAACACCAATGGAGATCATCTAAATTGGTTACTTGGTCAATAAGGTGACATTATCAGTTTTTTACACACCCTGAAGATACACAAACAGCAGTCTTCTATTATTGATGGGTATGGGAAAAACAAAAAATTCACATCATGATGAAAGAAGAAGAAAAAATCAGGAATATGATCTAGGACACAAACTATCATCAACTATGAACATTTAATACATGAAGCGCAACCCAAAAAACAGACAATGGAGGCAAATCGATGTAGAGATCTAGGCATTCACATATATAGGATGGTCACATCACACATTAAAGCAAGCTCACTTGTAGGTCCCCATACCCACACCAACATCTCCACCGTATGGCTGGAAGCTGTCCCTGGCCTTGGAGTAGCAAACATAGTAGAGATCGGACACTATGGCTGTGAACAAAGTAAAAGCAGCTCCTGCCCCAAAAACTCCCTTCCTCAATGATGGGCAATCCAGGGCTTCACCGAAAAAATTCCTGTACCTGGTGTGGTAGGCATTCCTTACTGAACCCGCAAGAAGGCATATCTCAGCAATGAAGAAAAACACCCTGGCACGGACAATTTAAGATGTCCACAAAAAGATAGCAAAGGTTCCATAAGATATATTGCAAGAAATAGACCTGCTAACTTTAGCTTGCTCAAATATAACATGGTAATGGATAAAGGTTAACAGCATCTATGTTCAATGATGGATAGGTTTGTAGTTCAGCTTTGGATTAGCATCACCTACCAGCAGGTTATAAACAGGATAACTGCCCATGCCCTAGAACCTCCAGGACTCAAAGGCTTGCCACAGCAGAAGCATTTACTGGCAAACATAATAAGGACTTGGCTAGCCATGAGGAACAAAAAAGCGCCAACACCAAAGCCAGTTGCAATGTCTGAATCATAGATGCAGTAACTGTAATTTTTTTCAGCATCTGGTTGGACAGTGGCCTGCAAAGCAAGGTATTGTTTATTTGCTACCTCACTAAAAATCGACTACTCAGCTGCCAAAAGGTAAAAACTACAAATAAGAGGTCTACCAAACATGTTAATACCATCTTGGGGAGTATGTGTCGTTCTCATATCAATTGCACCTCCACGCAATTTCAAAATCTATTAAAATGCCACACATTGACTTTCAAGATATAATATTTTTTTAATATTAGTCTCCAGGTTGTCTACAATGAATAGTAGGTTAATCTGATTGCTGGCAAAAGGTAAAAAGAAAGCAAAGAAACTTGAATTTTGAGGCTAGAAGAACATGGTCACAGATGCAAAGTGTTTTTTTTTTTT